ATTCTATTGTAGCATCTTTCATAACCAAGATGTTTTCGCACACAGAACCACTACTCGGCCTAAAACCTTTTTTTTACCATTTTGTGTAAGCCCTGGACAGGGGTGTCCGACTTTTTGACTCTCCTGGGTTGCATTGGAAGAAGAGGAATTTCGTTGGATTTCACATAAAATACACTAACAATAAGGATAGCTGATGAGCAGAAAAAGTAGGGCAGATCACTATAAAAGAAAAAGAGGGCAACATAAAACTAGAGCGATATTTGACACTGTTGCAAATCAGATAGGTAGAGTGTTGAGATAAACAATCCATTGATATTACGCTATGGGAGGCATCATCCATATGTGAAAACAAAGACCAAAGGGACTTTAATTATGCCTCCAGTAGTGAAAATGACAGCTGATTAAACTTACTTATGCTATTTTATTAGTACAAAAAAATTCCATAAAAAGTCCATAAGGACTAAAATTTTTTGTAAAAAATGAAAGAGCGTAAGTAATTTTAATCAGCTGCTGTTTTCATCACTGGAGGCATAATTAATGTCCCATTGGTCTTTGTTTTCACATATGGATGATGCCTTCCACAAATTTAAATGGATTGTTTAGCTACAACACTCCACCTATGTAAGTATTGGCTTGAAGTTAAAAGGGGACACAGGCTACCCCAGCACCCACATGTGGCACTTGGCTATCTGGAGTCCCTCCATGTGCTGCCGGTTTTATAGCAAACACATCATCCCCAGCATCCTGACGTTCTTGGGCCTCGTTTTGGGCCACATGCGGAGCCCTCTTGGGCTGCATGTGGGCTACGGGTTGGACACCCCTGCCCTAGAGACTGTAGCACATCAAAAACATAGGAGGTCAGCAGTTTCTGTGGTGCTGCAAGTATCTTCCTCATTCTAATGGTGAGTCAAACATCTAATGATTATGTCTGATCTCTGAATGCTTTTTCTACTGATTTGCTGCCATATGATTTCATGTTCAGCTATGTGTGCTAACAAGCAGGTTTACCATATCAAATAAAGCGTCCAATATTTGTATATAACTTTTCAATACAAGAACTGAAAATATTCAAAGAAACATCCCAAATGATGCACAAAACTTTTTTTGTTCAAGTGATAGCCAGTTTAAAGTATATGTTGGAGCTTCAATAGGTGCCATCCCATAGCTTACATTTGTTTATATTATGTAGCTATTTCTTTAGTAATTCAAAATTGTTCATGCCTAGCTACGATAATTATGTATGTCAAAGTGAATGCTAATTTCCATTCATTGCAGATATGCTTCGCTGGTTCTTTCTAAATGCAGTTACCTGCAGTGATTAAACTTCGCTGCTGTATCAATTTATTTTTACCTTTAAAAGGGAAGTTTACCCAAAAGATTTCATTTAAGAACTGTCTGAAGTGTGAAAACCTGAGATATTTGCCATCAAATTTAAATTCATCCCACTTTTATTTTTTCACCAACTGTTTTGGCTTTTAAGACATTCGGCAGTCATTGCATACCATTATTGAAAGAAGCAAGGGGAAATCAATAAAGCATTTATGACTTGTCAGACTTTCCTGGCAGTAGGGGTTCTTTAAAACAACCTGGGCCTGATTGCAACAATTTTGTTAAAGTTTCCAACACGTGAAACAGATTCAGGTAGTTTTTATTACTGCCACTTTAAGAACATGTCGCCAAAGCCCCCCCCCCCTTGGAAGACACCCTGTTCCCATATTGATGGGCACAAGGGCCAGATCCTCACATCTTGTCCTCCAAAATGGTTGTGGGGTGTGCAGGCATGAAAATCTGTCAGAATCTGGAAGAAGCCCTTTTCCTAGGTGGATGAATAGGGAGCACATAGTAATTCTTGTTACTCTTAGCAAAAACACCCACATCATGAAAAAAAATCATTGTCTCCCCCTCTCCTAATGTAAATCCAACATCAATCACATCATCCAGCATTATATATCCAGGTCAATCAGGATGACCCACCAACATGATGACCAAATGCATTACAAATGACAGATTCCCATTTCTGTATGGATAGAAGCCAGAGGGGATCTTGGGTGATATCATTCACCAAATATGGTTAGAAATATACCTCCTTGTAGTGGCAGTTGAAATTTCAGGATATTTTTTTTTATAATGGGTGTATATTATTCCACACTGATAATAGGGGTGTCATAAAACTCTTGAGGTTTTTGTTTCTGAAATGTGTTATGCCTGATGTTTGGATTAAAGCCAGTTATTAGATAGTGTAATGACACTGCCAATGCTGTATGATCATTTCACCATTTCAGCAGACCAGATGGGAATTTTTTAGATATAGTTTTTTTTATCCTGTATTAGGAATTTGGTTGCACGATCCACCTAATCCCAATATTGGGCTGCATGGCTTTCTTTACTGACATTTGAAAACCTGCAGCACTGCAACTGCATGCATTACACAAGGATGCAGAGAGGTTGTGGCCCCATTCACATGAATAAGTTTCATTTGCTGGCAGTACTGCCTGCTGAACAAAGTCTGTGGTAGACATTTTGCTGCTGCTTGCTCCATGCGCTTGTCATCAAAACAAGAGTTGGAAGTTGCTGTGTAAATACAGCAGCTGTAATAGCTGGTTTCAAAAGCCAAACCTTAACTATGTTTTTCCTGTTTTTTTTTTGTCTATTTCTAGTTTTCTAACCATTGATTGTTAAACTTGTTTACCTTTTTAATAATTCTATTTCTTAACATTTTAATTGTTGTAGTTAAAAAAAAGCACAACATTTAAATGTAGCACCATCCTAGGAAAGCTAGGGGGAGCTAGGTAATTAATTTTTAGTTAGAGGTTGAATAGCAGCCTGGTGAAATAGTCAGATGGGTCAAATTTGGAGGCTCTGCAGCTCAGTTCCCTGATACCTCCCCCTGATCTAGAAACATGAAAAAGTCTCTAGAATTCAGTGAATGGGTGAGGAGGAGTTTTGTCTGCATTCCCAAGGGATCCTGGCCAATCCCCAAGCAGGAGGTTGGCATGGAGTCAGGACAGACCTTAAGAGTGGTTGAATCTGCTCAGCAGCAGGAGAGTTCAGGTGGAAGATGGAGTGAGCAGACTGGAGTGAGGAGCCTGGGAGGGGGTCCAGGAGAGGGGCCTACATACATGTACATGAGAGAAGCTGGAAGGGAGGATTTCTCATCCTCAATCATCCCCTGAGAGAGGACAGCCTGGGAAGCAGGGAAGGAGCAAGCCCAGCTGAAGGCCTGAAGGCAGCCACCAACCCACAAGCTTGCAGGAGAGGACTGAGAAGTGAGTAATCCTGCACCCCCTGAGCCAGATAAGGAAGAGGGCATTCTGGTGGAACACCTGATTAGCCCCCATCTGGGACTGCTGATTCTAAAGTGGCAGATTCTGGGCTCCCTTGCCCAGGGATTCCCTCAGGCAGCTGGGTGAAGAGGAGATTTCATCTGGAGTCTGTGGTGGTACAAAAGGAGAGTCTGGATAGCTCTCAAAGAAGAAAACCCCTTCTGAGCATTTGTACATAGTTCCAGGAAGTTGTCCCCATTTCAGCAGTTCCTTGGGCATCCCATGTATCCCTCATCCCCATCCAAGTTCAAATTCCCTAATAAAATCCAAAAGAAACAAGTTCAAGGACTGTTTACTGTATGTGGAATGCAAGGCTAGAAGGAAATGTATGTTGCCTGGCTGTGCAGGACTATAGGGGGACCCAAATCTCTAGCAAATCCTAAGGGGGTAGTGCTGCATTAAAAAAGGCTTGTAAATAACTTTGCAACACTATGTACCAGAATCATAATTTTAGTGTATTTTTTAGTTTTGTTGTCTTTGGTTTTGTATTATTACAGGTACTTATATAGCACTGTCAATTTATGCCACACTTTACATGTATACTGTACTATATATTGTACATTCACATCACTTCCCTAACATTCAAGAAGCATACAATCTAAGGTCCCTAATGCAGGCCATAGACGGGTCGTTTATCGGCTGAATTTTGGTCCACACGAAAAATCGACCAATATTCACGCCATTAGTGGGGCAATGCCGTCGGCCGTTTTTCTTGTTTACTTTTATCTGTCATGCTCGAAAATCCACGAAAAACTGACGTTTTTTGTGGACATTGGTGGCAGCATCGTTGCCAGCAACATCCGATTTTTTTGTTTATTGGCCGAAAAATTCGGCCGATAAATGGCCCGTCTATGGCTTGCCTAACTCACATTAATATGTTTACATACTAGGGCCAATTTAGATAGGAGACAAATAACCTACCAGCATGTTTTTGGAGTGTGGGAGGAAACCCATGCAGCCACAGTGAGAACATGCAAACTCCAGGCAGGTAGTGCCATGGTTGGGATTCAAACCGATGACTCTAGTGCAGGCAGAAGTGCTCATATAGCTACTGTGCTGCATTAAAAAAAGACATTTTGTAAGACAGTATCACCAAAACAAAGCCTTGTTTGACCAAAAAAAAAAAAAAAATTGGACTTCAGCACTCAGATGAAGGTACCTATATTCCAGTATTACAAGACAGGAAAGGAACACGTCTCCCATCCTCTCCCTCCTAGTCTCCTGTGTGTTGGTCTCAGTAGGATCCACAGACAGTGACTGTAAGTCCTCATGCACACTGGACATTTTTACAGCTGCCGTTTTTGGCTTTTGGCGGTTTTTCTACAGCCAGTAAACTCCCCAAGCGTGTTATCCTATGTGTCTATGCACACAGACTGTAATCAGTGTTTTTTGGCTGGAAAAAAACCCCAGAACTAGTGAGTTTATAGAGGAGTTTTGAAGTTGTAAAAACGATCTAACACTGAAAAATGTGGCAAAACATGGTAAAACATGGCAAAGTGGTGTTTTTTGGATGTTTTTTGAGCAAAAAAAAAATGTTACGGTAAAGAAAAAAGCTAAAAAAAAAAAAAACACAAACGCGAAAAAACGCGTCTAAACTCTAATGTAAAAACGCTAAAAACCACAGAAAAACTCAAGTTTTTAACATGACTTTACACAGCTAATGTTACCATTATTAAAATGCCCCGTGTGCATAGAGCCTAAATAGTTCATGCTATATTGATTTTATTGGTCACTAATCATTTCTCCTCAATAAGTTGAAAAGTATATCGAAACAAATCATTGCTCAATTAATTGTTGCTACCAGGGGCGGACTGACCATTTGGAAACTCGGGCACTGCCCGAGGGCCCGGGGTCAGTAGGGGGCCACATGAGAAGCCCCTGGTAACATTTTTCATAGGCTTTTTTGACTTTGGGCAAGGACACAGGGGCCCCATGATCCCCTATGGCTCGGGGGCCCCATGAGTTTCAGTCCACCCCTGGTTGCTATTGTATATTTAATATATCTATGGGATTATTGTAAGTGGATACCTTTAAAATACCACTTCTATTACCACATGGTGTCGAATGAGATATGAACAGGATGGTTGACCAAAGGTTATATGCTTTGCAATATACATTATATTATGTAATTTACAAAAAGATATTGAATTTTATGAACAGTACATATTGAGACATTTTGGTGCTTTAAAAAGTCCCAATCACCATACGTAGGTTTTATTTTGTTATCTTAGGTAATGACAAAGTTAATGCCAAATAAATTGGCCCATAGCAGAAATTTGCTCTGGTCCATAGTGTGAGAGTTTTGGTAAGAGTGTCAGTATTTTAAGTATCTTGATTTAGTTATCTATTTACTTTTTGTTGTATATGTGTTCCATTTTTTTTTCCTGCATGTCCTACTTCCTAAAAAAAGCTTAGATCGATGTTCACTCTGAACGAGGCCAGGATATTGGGATGTTTTGGTATAATAATCAATGGAAATGAGATGAAGTGAAGCGATGACCTTTTACTTAGTCATGGTGCACTGCGCTTTTCATCAGACAAATTCAATGTGTCCATGTTACTTGCCTGGAACAGAAAATGAATTGATTTGCAGTCCAGCCCTATAAAAAGTGACTTGGCTGTGATCTAACTGCAGATTTTAGCCACCACCTCATATAGAATGACATTCTGATAAAAGCAGGGGCGGACTGACAACTCATGGGTCCCCCGGGGGATCATGGGGCCCCTGTGTCCTTGCCCAAACTCAAAAAAGCCTATGAAAAAGGTACCAGGGGCATCTCATGGGGCCCCCTACTGACCCCGGGCCCTCGGGCAGTGCCCGAGTTTCCAAATGGTCAGTCCACCCCTGGATAAAAGGTTGTCATTTATGCTGCAATTACCAGTGTAGAGGTACCAGTATGTGCTTACCTAGGTGTATCATTAACCGCAACAATGTGTTTGCTTTTGTTGGAAAATTGTACAAATTTCATAGAAAATTCCCAAATATACAAAGAATAAACATGAGAAAAGCAATCATCAAAAAAAAAAAAAAAAAAAAAAACATCCGTGCTTTTGAAATCATAGATATAGATAGATAGAGGGCTTTGTTTTCAGCAGGAGCACAGGGGAATGCAGCTCTGGCACCTCCAGCACTGAATGTGTGTAATGGCAAGGGGTTCTGGGATGTGCTGGAGGATCTATTGTCACTGAAGGGGATCTATTTTTGTGTTGTTGGTCTGTTGTTGCTAGGGAGGTCTGTTGTTGCTGATGGGGGAATCTATTGTTAATGGGAGTCAATTTTTGCTAGAAGGGGTCTACTGTTGAGGGCAGAGTCTATTGTTGCTGGCTGTAGGAGAGTCTATTGATGCTGGCTGCTGGGAAATATATTGTACATGCTGGGGGTCTATTGTTGCTGGGATGAGAAGGGAGGAAAAATCAATGTAAATGCAAATCAAGATCCCACCCCTGAGGGGATCTCATTTTCAATCAGAAAATCCACCATGCCTCCTTCCCAAAACCCTTCTTCTCTATCACCTCTTCAGGGTGAGTGAGAAAGCTTCTCTATTCCTCTAAATCTAAAAGATTAGAGATCACCTGAGTAACAATCTCTAGAGTGGTGTGTCACATTTAAGATATATCTAACATTAACATTGTTTGTATCACAGTAATTCTCTCCAAATCTAGTTCTGCCCCCCACATATTGTAGAATACATGTGGTGCAAGTGACCAGGTAAACTACATAATTAGTGCTGCAATTAATATATCGTTGCATAGAAAATACCTCTCCTGTCACTGCAGAGGTAAAAGTTTTACCTGTCAAAGCAAGATGGCAATATTTACAAGTCTAATATTACAGGGATAACTCCCTAAACAAGACAACCAAGCAGGCTGATATTTAGTGGAAGAGGAGAAAAAATAGGTGACAAAAGAATTACCCAATGTGGGTGCTCGCCAGCTAGATAAATATTTGTAATGTTTCATATAAACTTTTATATAAAATGAGCAAATTTCTGTTTATAATCCTAATAATTTGATGATGCTCTTTGGAATATGCTTTTTTTTTCAAATCTTTACCTCTGAAAAATGCTATGTGGCTGGTATGTAGATCCTCTTGCTTCAGTACTTTGTTAAAGACCTATGGCAAGCAGACTTCTGAATTTTCTCTGATCCTGGATATGAATATTTGTTCTGCGTTGAGGACTTGGAAAGCATTGAAACCAATGGGTCAGCAATGGCAGTCGCCATATTTCTTTTAAGACCATTTTACTTTTAGGGCCAATTTACGCTACATGCGTTTCAGTTGCTTTTTTCTGCATTCAAAATGCACAGAAAGTAAGTTATATGGTTGTCAATGTCATAGTTTACATCAATTCTTGCAGTACCAGTGCGTTCCGATTGCAGAATAAAAAAGTAGAACATGCTGCATTTTTTCTGTACGGGACTGTACTGGAAACATGGGATAACACATCAAAAACGCACCAAAATGCATCAGAAAAACACACTGGAAAGTGCATGTCCCTATTTAACTTGAAGAAAAAGAGAGGGTACAAAATTAACTGGAATGTTTCAAAAACACACTGGAACACATTAAAAATGTGTCAATGCGGAAATGCATCCTGAGCGCATCAGGACTGTGTTTCTTTAGTGTGAATCGGTCCTTATGGCATGAACTGTTTTCTGTGTTTTTTTTTTTAATTAAAAGATGTGCTCTCACACCACCTACTGACTGAAATGTAAAATTACAGTCTTCTGTTAAGTGTGATTCTTTTTTTTTCTTTTTTTCTTTTTTTTTATCATTGCCAGTTCATTTTAAATTCTGTGTTTAAAAGAATTAATCAGAGATGTTAACTAAAGTAGCTAATCAGATTTAAAAATAAATGTATTCTAGGAAACTTCCCCTTTCTTCCTTTCTGGGGGAGACATAACAGGTATTTTCCTTAAAGTGATCTTCTCACTTAAAAAAGTAGTTAAAGTAGTAAGAAACAGCCTGCAATTTTTAAATGTATTGGGTAATATTGAGCAGTGCAGCATTACCCAGATCATTTTTTCTTTATAGTTGTGCACAAACATTTACTTACCTTTCATGCTCACTGTAAGCAGCACCAGGTGCACACCGTGGCTGAACTTCCAGGCAGGGTGGATAAATATCGATGATTTTTTTTAAAAACAAATTTTAAAAATCAGATTTTTTTTATTTAACCACTTCCAGTCCGGACACTTTTACCCCCTTCCTATCCAGGCAAATTTTCAGCTTTCAGTGCTATCACACTTTGAATGACAATTGCGCGGTCATGCAACACTGTACCCATATATATTCACCACTGGGATTTTTATTTTTTTGCTATGTAAATTAAAAAGTGCAAAAATTTTGAAAAAAAGTGTTTTTCTTATAAAATTTTGCAAATAAATAGTATTTCTTCATAAATCTTGGCCAAAATTTATTCCGTTATATTTTTAGTAAAAAAAAAAAATAAATAACCCAAATTAGTTTATAACCAAACATTATAATTTTTTAACTTTTTTTAACTTTTTTTTTATTTTTTTATATTATTTTTTATTTATTATTTTTTTTTACATACTGTCACCCTAGCAGTACACTGTCACCATGGTGACACTGAACTACTTATGGGGGGTGATGAAGATTTTTTTTTTTTTTTTTACACTGATTGCTTTTACACTCATAAAGGCTGTAAAAGCAATCATTTCTCCTTCTCTCTAGCTGCATTCTTGCAGCCATTGAGAACTACTGAGTGAGCTGTGATTGGTCACGGCTTGTCACATGGTACAAAGCTGTTATGAATAGCCTTGTACCATGTGACCTCTGTGATCATTCACAGATTTCACACATAGTAAGCAATGATGTCACAAGTGACATCTTGCTTACTACTCTGCATGTGATCACTGATTGGCCAATCAGTGATCACACGATCGGGAAATCGTACAGCGGTCCCGTCTGACGATCGGTGTTCCACTGTGTCCGGAGGACACAGCGGGCACGGATCGCGGTGCTGTGCACTCCCAGGGAGAGAGCACAAGCAGGGTGAGGGGAGGCCATTTATAAACGGCCACCAGACCCTGCACTGCCACCGTCCGGCCGTTTACATATAACGCCCGGATGGGAGGTGGTTAAATCAGATTTTTTAATTTTTATCAAATTTATTTTAATAAAATACTTTTGGAGTAAAAATCTATCTAAAGATAGTTTTCTATTTAAGATACATTAATAATTTAGTTTATTCAGCATGAAATGGAGCTTAGTTTTGTAGCATGAGGCTGTATATTCTGCAATATTCACATTTTTGATAAACTCATTCAATGAATCCAAGTTCTACAAGCTGAGATAACATGCACTGCATTGATGCATTCACACAATTTCACAGTAACCATGAGAAAAATAATGAAATAAAAGAATCTGAGTTCTTCTCTAGCTATGTGTGATTAACCTATTAACCTAAAATCGGTTCTGATATCACTGTTTTACTAACCTGACAGCCTATTATTTTAACCCCTTGCCCTCCAGAGGATTTACCCCCATTCCTGACCAGGCCATTTTTTGCGATGCGGCGCTGCATTACTTTGACTGACAATTGCACTGTCATGCAACGCTGCACCCAATTGAAATTTACGTATTTTTTCCCCCCACAAATAGAGCTTTCTTTCGATGGTATTTCAGTGTCAATCAGTAAACTGCTCATATTACATAGAAAACATTGCATTGCATGCACTCTGAAGGGATGGCATTCTCATGCTCTCCTTTTAGAGGTCAGTGCTGCAGCTGTGACTCCTGTGCGCATGCATGGGAGGGATGGGGTTCGGTCATTCAAACAGCTGGAGCCTGTGAACCTGGCAGGGAGACTGGGTGAAGATGGAAGCCCTGTCAGTGGTAACAGCGCACCACTGGAGGGCTTTGTTTTAGGGCAAGTCTCTCATAATGTGCAAGTATGTGGTGTATACTAGTAAATTGTGATATTATCTTGCAGGGGGCCTTGTTTTCCCCCGCATTCACTACCGCTTTAACCTCTTCCCGTCCAGCCCATGTCGATAAACGGCTGGACAAGAGCGCTGCCGATGCGGGTGGACGTTTCTAAATGTCCCCCCGCATCCATTGTTTGTGCGTGCTCCCTGGGAGCACACGGCACCGCAATCAGTGCCCGCTGTGTCCGCTGTGAACACAGATCGCTTTACGGGACATCTGTGTGAGGTCCCGATTCATGTGATCACTGATTGGCCAATCAGTGATCACATGAACAGTAGTAAACAAGATGTCACTTCCTGACATCATTGCTTACTACTAATGAAATATGTGAATGATCACAGAGGTCACAAGGTACAAGGGTATTCACAACAGCCTTGTACCATGTGACAAGCTGTGACCAATCACAGCTCTCACAGTATTTCTCAATGGCTGCAAGAATGCAGCCAGAGAGAAGGAGAAATGATTACTTTTACAGTCTTTATGAGTATAAAAGCAATCAGTGTAAAAAAAAGAAAAACAAAATCTTCATCACCCCCCCCACAAGTAGTAGTTTCACTATGGTGACACTGTACTGCTAGGGTGACAGTATGTTAAAAAAAAAAAAACACATAAATAATAATATAAAAAAAAAAATAAAAATGTAAAAAGATTTTTTGAAAAATTATAATTTTTGGTTATAAACTAATTTGGATATTTTTTTCTTACTAAAAAGATAGATAAATACATTTTGGCCAAGATATAAGAAGAAAGATTATTTGCAAAATTTTATAAAAAAAACTTTTTTTTCAAAATGTTTGGACGTTTTCATTTATATAGCAAAAAAAAATAAAAATCCCAGTGGTGAATAAATACCACCAAAAAAAAGTGTTATCTGTCTCAAAAAAATGCTAAAAAAATTCAT